CATCGATAAGAATGGAGACTATTTCATTTAATAAATGTTCTGTTTTGATATACAAGTTGTTTGGGTTTTTTTCATCTAAAAATGCGACAGTTAATTTCTTGACGACCTAATACATCTCTTTGGCACAGTTGGCAGCTGTCACGTTTTTCTAATTTTTGTTGATGCTTTGAATTGTGACATTTGAAACTTACTGAGAGCAGCATTTCAAGGCCTAAAACTACTGATAGTTCAAATAATAAGAACAGGTCATGTTATAAAAGCAGTAGAGAGGAAAGGCAGTATAATGGATTTTCGGAGACTAGTCAAACATTGTACAGGTGGCCCACTTGACAAACTTTTTATGAAACAATCAGCAACAAATTTTGTGGCTGATTTAACAGAAGTTGAATCTGTATTAAGAATGAAGTAACATCAATTGTAGAAACATATATTGAAGCAGATGAAGTTGAAACTGAGAATGTATCTCATGTTGACTCAGACATAAATTCTGGTGCTGAAAATTTAACTCGGGGCCCCTGAGAAATGATAAAAAAGTAATGTTTCTTGTTGTGCCTGTATCTGACCATGTTTTAAAAGTCTTGGGACTGGGGAGTTTGTACTTTCTAGTCGCATGCTGACAGTCAGTACAATTTAAGATTAACAGTTAGTGAGAAAGATATCTATATTAAAAAAGAACACACAAGCACAATTGAGGTGTGGTGAGGATTTGGAAAGTTTAAGCACTAAGTATGCTAGTTTGATGAAAAATTTGCGAGGTGTGGTTAAATCAGGGATTTGGAAAGTTGGAGCACTATTAAGGTATGCTAGTTTGATGAGAGATTTGTGAAGTGTGGTTAGGTCAGGGATTTGGAAAGTTGGAGCACTATTAAGGTATGCTAGTTTGATGAGAGATTTATGAAGTGTGGTTAGGTCAGGGATTTGGAAAGTTGGGGCACTCTTATGGTATGCTAGTTTGATGAGAAGTTCATAAAGTGTGGTTAGATAAGGGATTGGGAAAGATGGAGCACTATTGATACTTTATAGGAGATTTTTTGACACTTTGTTAATGTTCTAACGTACAGTATTTTTTACATCATCTAAAACAATAAAAAACATTTGTAACAAAACTTTTAGTTGTGTAAAAACATTTATAAGTACAGTATTTTAAACGTGAATTACAATAAAGGTGGATAACAATTGAAACTTACTGGTGGGAAAGAATATAAACAAAACCACATTGGCAACACTAGGCTACAATGAGCATTTGTATTTGGAGATATTGAAATTTCTGGTAACAAGAGCTTTTCAAATACAAAGATGCCAGATAAAGTTTTTACTGTGTTTGTGTGTATATGAAGGCATCAAACAAATTTTAGAACCTAGTCTCAGACACCTATTGGTGTTTTAAGTAATTTACCAACTTTCTAAAAAACTTTTAACTAAAAGCCCATCATATGCCGGTAAATGTTTAATTATTTTGCTTTGGAAAATCTGACAGTAAGTTTTTACATGAACATGCACACATGATTAGAATAAGCACATATGCAATTAGAATTTGAAAAAAATCTCAATAAGTTTAATAAAATACATATTTGTAAAAATTTAAAAAATAAAAGAACACAGATCACAAGTAGGTACTTGCAAATGGATTGTTTTCTCCTAAATTATTAAAGAATAAATTAGGCCTATACATCAAAGATTAAATTTAAAATTTTACCTTTAGTGAAAAGAAATTGTAATATTATCATAAACTTTAAGGTCTAGAAATATTAATAGCATAAATTTTAATTCAATTGTGTAGGATGCCTAAATTGTTTATGCAATTAAGCTTTTTAGGCCTAACAAAAGGGTTCACACCAAAATACGTCAGGGCCTAAGTAGCAACATTTTATAGCTCAAAAACAAAAGGAAAAAATTATCAAAATTTCAGACCATTAATCACTTGTTTCATAGTGAAATGGCTAAGTCAACATTACATACCTTGATACAATCAGCCTTTTTTTGCTGACTTGATAGTTGATTTTATTATGAACCCTAGTTTTAAAAATATAACTTTTTGAAATAAAAATCTCCATAGATTCCCGATACTTTTATCTCTTATTAAAGCATTAACTACTACTTCTCCATGTTTTCATTAAAAGTACAGGATTTTGTTAGTGTCTTGTTCTGAAAAATTTACTCTTGGAATTTTCAGAGCAAACTGTCCTCTTCACCTACCCTTCAACAAACGCATCAAGTTTCCCCAAATCATCTGAAAGCCCGACTAGTTGATCCAACGTCCCCACCTACGTGTAAAATATTTCTTTGTTTATGTACTGTCAATTCTGAAATACTGATCAATAATAATTTAAACTCTATAAATTGTACTTATTCTATGTAGCCTAAAGAGTACAAGTCAAAAATATATAAATACTTTTAATGATACATTATTATACACAGATATAAGCAATCCATAAAATTACTTTGCACACATAGTGTGCAAATTTATTAGAACACCTCAACAATTATCATTTTACGAGCTTTACACACAAGTAGTCATTGATTTGCTTTATAAACCGTCTTGTAATTAAAGTTTAATTAATAATGTTTAAGTTTGTTTAATGCTAATATTTAGTGTGACCACCTATGGCACGACTAGAAGTCTGGCATCTTTGTGTCAATGTATTTTATCCAAGTTTCTGGTGTAACTTGATTCCATTTCTCTTGAAGCTGTGTACAGAGAATTTCTTTGGCACAGTTGGTACTCTTCTCAAGCCAATCCCAGATTTATTCTATAGAACTGGACTTTGTGTTGTCCACTCCATTCACTGGAGATCTCCCAAGTTCTCTTTCTTGGAAGTGTGTTTGGGCTCAATTCACTTCTTTCCAGAGGGTAAATCATGATGTCCTGATGTGGTAGTTATACTAATCCATGATTCTATCAATTCTGTAAAATGTTCAACCCCATTTGAAGATATTGTGCCTCAAACCATCACAAAGTCTCTTGGATGCTTGACGTTTGGCTCAAGGCACTCCTTTTGCAACCTCCCATGACTCTTCAGGTAACCCTCAAACCATCACAAAGTCTCTTGGATGCTTGACGTTTGGCACAAGGCACTCCTCCTGCAACCTCCCATGACTCTTCAGGTAACCCTCAAACCATCACAAAGTCTCTTGGATGTTTGACCTTTGGCACAAGGCACTCCTTTTGCAACCTCCCATGACTCTTCAGGTAACCCTCAAACCATCACAAAGTCTCTTGGATGCTTGACGTTCGGCACAAGGCACTCTTTTTGCAAGCTCCCATGACTCTTCAGGTAACCCTCAAACCATCACAAAGTCTCTTGGATGCTTGACGTTTGGCACAAGGCACTCCTTTTGCAACCTCTCATGACTCTTCAGGTAACATATGCACACTATTTGGAACCAAACAATTCAATTTGAACTCATATACCCAAAGCAACTTGTGCCACTGTTCCAAAGAAAAAGATACGTTTTTCATAAAATAGTCTCCTTGCCATATTCTCTTGGCACAGTAAGAGGTTTCTTGCTGCTAATCTTCCCCAAAGGCCACATTTCTGCAGTGTTTTTGAGACTGTACTTGAAACTTTAGCTGTGCATAAGTTAACATCATCAGCAAGGTTCTCTAACTCCAAACAGTATCGTGTAAAGATTTTATTCTGATTCTGTTGAATGGTTTTAACTCTCTCTGTTTTGGCATCTTAATGGCAACACCACATAATATTAGCCATACTAAACACCATATTTTTTGGGGAAAAAAATCATCCCTTCTATACCTGTATGTACTGACATGAAAAACTCAAAATGTGAAACACAATCAGATGTGACAAGGTTGAACCATGTTCTATTTACATTAGTCATCTTAAACAACTCTAAAAAATCTATTGCACTTAATTTTGTAATTATCAGTTGCTTTTTTTTTAATCATAAATTAATGCATATTAAAGTCACTAATTAGGTGAGAAAATCAATAACACAAGCCTGTAAATTTAAACTTCATAAAAGTTGTTTTGGTTTTGAGGACAGGTATTGCATAATTCAGCTACGCAGATTTCGAAAATAATATTAATTTTTTTTTATCACTTAAGGATTTTTTACAAATCAGGAAGAAGAAAATAACTCTTACTTAGATCAAATTATTATTTCGTTTACCACAATGAAA